GCCATACAAGTGGCAGGGGAGGATGTGGGCATATGGTTTTCTTGGGCTTGTAATTAGCCTAACCAGTGACCTTTACTGATTTTTTTTGTGTTCAAATCACCTGAAGTCGATTAGATTTAAAAGGCAGCCTAAGGACATGATTGAATATGGTATTAAAATATTTGATTTCTCGGACAATAGAAATTTTGTTGAAAACATTTGATGAATTAAAATTATACTTGGGTCTGCATGGAAGGCTAGGAAACCCTCTCTACCAGATTGCTGCTCTCAGTATACCTCTTTGTAACTGCTCCTTGAAGACCTCATCTTAGACAACTGACTGCTGCTTGCCTTGTATGCTTAGAATTAGCAGAACAAAAGAAATCTGTCCACTGGGGACCAAGAGCTGCACTAGTGTTGGTCTCGAGGCCACCAGCTATTCTAATGAGATGAGGCTGCCCATCCCAAAATCTGGGTGAAGAAGGAAGTGCCACATCTAAACTGTTGCCTGACCCCACATGAAACAAATGAATCAACACTGAAAGCTTCAGTAAAAATCAGTACATCGGTGTCCTTGCCATTTAAGTTTTCTAGGATATTTTGATGTGAACCAAGACACCTTGTATTATATTGTTGTAGGATTTTGATTCTTAGAGGGATACAACTTTGAATTAACAACAACAACAAAGCTCTTGATGTATTTCAGTGCATTTGAAAGTTTAGAATCTCATTTTCTAATGGTGACTGAAAATATGAATTTTACTGCATATGAAGTAGTTATCTCCTTTGGGCTTATTCTATATAGAACAGCAGTAGGGGCTGAAGGGGACAAATATGAAGGATACGATGACCCCAAAGGGAGTTTTCTGTCTCTCCCCTCTCACATTCCTGTTAATCTGTGGCAGCAAACAGCCTTTGGTAGATTCCCCGCCATTAGGTAGAACAAAGACCAAAGCACGTGGCTCTCACCTGCTGTTCCGCATTGACAGGCACGACTCAAAATATTTCAGTGTAACGTCCAGGCCGTATGTTTTCATGTATTGTCTATGCAAACAATTACCTTTTGTGCACAGAGAGATGCCTGATGTATTTTAAACTGTGGAAGTAAATGCTCTAGTCCACTTCCTCCTTACTCTTTTTTTTTTCCCTTGCAGATGTTATGTATAACGGAGAAATGAATGAAAAGATAAAGTTACTGTATAAACTGCATATCCCACCTGGTAAGGAGTTTGAAAAGGAATGAATACCTCCATTTCCCTCCAAACTCTTGCTTAAAGCTTTTGGGAAAAGGCTGCTTAATGAAGAACCCTCTTTCTTCCTTCAGCTGGGAGCATATAGGATTTGCATTTGTCGTTACACTCACTGCATTTTAAAAACTACTCCAGTCAGAACTTTTTTGGGTGCAAATTAGACCCATGGTGTTAAGGCTCACACCTGCTGCTTTCAGATCTTTTGCAGCCAATTATATGGTTCCTTCTAGACAGAATGTTGAACTGGAATAACATTTTTAGATGGTACAGTTGAAATCTCTTTATGACATCTTGATCCAGTTTTGATTAGGTGACAGTTCTGTGGTGGTGTCTCTGTGCAGTTTTTAATTACACGTGCCATTCTTGGCAAACTCACGACTCTCTCGCTGCAGCACCAGCCTTACTTACATTAACATGATTTTACAGGATGATTTAATGAAGTACTGTTTAAAAACATCTTTGCCCAATTATTTTACTTACTTCAAATAATTAAATTTTAAAAGCAGAAATAACTATTATGCAGCACTGGAAGGATTAATCATTCTGTTTTTCACTGTTTTTTGATAGCTCTCACAGAAAATGAACGAGACAGCCAGTCACCATTAAAGAATCCTTTGCTGTCCACTTCAAGACCACTGGTCATTGGAAAATCAAATGGTATGTCCAAAATGGTTCTCTGATGCGTGTGATAACCACCTTTCCATTTGTTTTCCATTTGTTAAACCTGCTCCATTATCTCCACTCTTGGGGTTATATTTTGAAATGTCTGTTTACTCCAGTGACTTTAATTCTCCTTTGCTCCAAAAAAGGTGATGCAGTAGACTACCAAAAGCAGTTGAAGCAGATGCTGAAGGATCTAGCCAAAGAAAAGGATACTAAAACTGAAAAAGAATTGCCAAAAATGAGCCAGGTATGTATCCTAGGGGCTATGGTGTGTTGTTCTAAGAAGTGCAGAGTACTCAAAAATGAAATGATAAATCCAACAGTGTAGCTCTTTCTGAGAAAGTGTAACTTAAGCCTGAGCTGAGATTCAGCCCTGTAGAGAGACCAAGGATTAGGCTGCTCTGATCAAGGGAGCAGGCATTACCTTTAAAAACTCTCAGCCACCTTTCCTGCAGCTCCCTCGCCTCAGACTTCTTGGTGAGCAGATGACCCTCACCTGCAGCGTAACAGGCTGGAAAACAGGCTCACTCAGGCTGGGAAAAGCCCTCCTGCGGGGCCCAGAGAATCCCTGAGGATGCATACTGCTGTTCTGTCTTCCCTCACCTCCTCTCCACCAAACCAGTAACCTCTTTCATTGTCCATCACCCACTGGGACTTGTCCTGTCATAACCAGACGCTGACTAGAACTGCATTAAGACAGCTGAAGGCTCTCATCATCTCACCATCTCCTCCCTACTTGCCAGCAGAGCTCTGTGGATGTTGCTGGCATGAGGGAATTTACTGGGGGAGGAGGGGAGGGGGGGGAAGGGTCCCATATTAGTGTAGCAAATGTACAGACGTGCAAAGAAGGATGGGACTACACCCAGAATCCCTTCTGTGCTGGCGTGGCATGTACCTAACCTGTCAGCTCAGCAGCGCCACATAATCTCTCATAAAGGCATCACTTGGTGGAACTTCTGAGGTCCCTTCCACCCTGAATTACCCATCCTATGACTGTATGAAGGGCTCATAAATTTCCTAACAGGGTATGGAAATGTCCTTAGCTGCAATGGGTAAGTGAGGGGAGGAAGGAGAGAAAGGGGTTGGGCACAGAGGTGTCTGCATTTTGTTACTAGAAGAAAAAGAGCTGGGGAAAGATGGAGAGAAATGTTAGGAGGGAAGTTGCTTCCAAACCTGTGGATGGCTACTGTGGTTGCACTTTGTTCTGTACAGTAACCACCAGTTTTCCCCCAGTAATGGATTGTACCCCTTGCATTGTATCTCACTTGCCCTTTGGTCATCTGGGAGGTCCTGATCTCCTTCATCAAGGCAGGGAAGTACTTCTGTGCTCTCTCTGTTCCCTCTTTGATTTGCAGCAGCAAGGTTTCCGAGCATCAGTGGGAGGGGGGGGGGGGGGGGGGGTGAGATCCCTTTGCTAACGTTTTTTTAAATGCAGGCAGAAGTTGTAAACGATCAAGTCTGTACACAGCACTCTGTCTTGCTTTGCAGTGCCCTGCCCTTGCCCAACTCCTAGTTACCCATCGTGTGGCTGTTCAGTTGATTGTGGGTTTTTTTCATCCTTTACAGAGGGAATTCATTCAGTTCTGCAAAACCTTGTATAGCATGTTTCATGAAGATCCAGAGGAGAACGATTTGTATCAAGCCATTGCCACTGTGACCACACTGTTACTTCAGATTGGAGAAGTAGGACAAAGAAGCATCAGCCTGGGGAGTGGATCGGATGAGTTCACTGAGGACTTGCAGCCCGAGGCCTCTGCTTCAGACCAGGATGCTGTTTTTACTGACACTGTGAAGACCCCTCACAAAGACTCTCAACCTTCTCCTGTGACTGAAGGGGACTGGACTGTCTCTTTTGAACATATCTTAGCATCCCTCTTGACTGAACAGTCATTGGTTAACTTCTTTGAAAAACCCTTAGAACTGAAGCCAAAACTTGAGAATGCAAAGCTAAATCAGTACAGTCTCAGAACAAATGGAATGAGCTGCCAGTCACGGGGTGAACATCCAAAACTAAACACACAGTAGTAGCAAAGCTGTTAAAAACGAAATGCACTGAAATTATGCCAAAGCACATACTGTAAAAGGCTTTCAGTTAGCAGTGGACTTTTGATAAACAATTTGTTGGTCTGTGGTTTTCAGTTTAAGAGCTTTAAAAGCTAAAGGGTGTGTAGGATTGTTTTGTGCCATTGATTTATTAATTATGTTCTTGTTTTGAACGTAAAAGGAAACATCTGTCTACAGCGTGAAGACACTGAAGCCCTCTTCCGCACTGGGAGAGCAGAGGCTGGCTCCAGTTCTCTTCTTTTTTCTTTTTTTTTTTTTTTAAAGAGGGGAAAACACTTCTCAGCTACTGTCTGCAGTCTGTTTGGGTTGCCTTTTTTGCACTATTACTGAAAACTGTTTCAATGCTGGTAATTGAAACTATTTTAATATATTTGATTGTATTCCAATTTGTATGTCTTGCTGAAAATGTTAAGTGTACATGGACTGTGCTTCTGCTGTGGTCTGTGAGAACATGCACTTTTCAATTAAACCCTTTTTTGTACTAGACTTGCATTGACAATATTTATTGATTTATGGAAGGTAAGTGCCTTTAGTCCCTACTTCATTAAACAAATTCCCTGAGCTAGCACGCTCACATTAATTAACTGGTCAGAACTCCACGTTTCAGTGCAGCGCACAGAGCTGCGTGGGGGAAGCCCACGGGGGACCAAACACAGGGAGTTTACGTTATCCACTAGAGAGCGTGTAGATGAAGTATTGACCTCACGGTTTGGGGGGTTGTGGGGTTTTTTGTTGTCTGTTTGTTGGTTTGGTTTGTTTTTTTAAACAAACTTGGCTTTAACTTAAAATACCTGTGTAGTGGCTTTTCATTCCCCTAGAAACAAAACACTAGGATGCTGCCACCCACACAGGAACATTCCCATCTCTTCCCCATTCCTTTCACATGCAACTGAAGTCCACAGTTTCTTTAATTAAAAATATTACAGCGTTACATACAAGCCCAAAGAAAACAAGATACTTTAAAATGTTACCACCTGTTCGACTCAGTGCTTCACAGATGACAGCTTCAAGAGACTGGACAATGAAAAAACCAAAACAACTTAGGAATAAATGTTCTTTTTACCCTTTTATTGTAATGAATATCTGTTTAATTTTCATCCACATTGACTGTCTGTAGACCTGCAAAACAATAGATTGTATCACCACCTATTACTGGGACAATTCCCTTTATGCATATACAAGTCTTTCAGAAGAAAGAACACCTACAGTCTGCTTCTGGAAGCACAAACTATATAGGCCAGTATTCTACTAAATGTTTGAACAGGGACTTCATGTTTGATCAATTCTGCAAATAAGACACTTCTCAGATGACAAGCAGAAAAGGCTCAACCTGCTTGAACTTTTGACTCTATATGGGAAAATAAACCTTAAAACTATCCTAACAACTATGGCCAGTGTTTTTATTCTCTCAAAATTGACATGATTATTTCACTTAATTACACATTTACTTTTTAATGCTGATCAGACAAGCCAGCAGCCCTGTTCTCTACAGCAGAGCCAGTTTCAGCCAGCAGCCTGACTCCCTCAGCGTGCTTTTCATCTGGATGTTGCACTGCGGGAGGAGCCGTCCCGCTTTGCTACTTGTTCAGAAGACATGGCACGGAGGAAGAGAGACGGCTTGCAGCCTTACCTTTGAACGTTGTGACTGGTACGTAGGTCACCAGTGTGTACAGCTTGTTTGGTGAATCTTCGTCCTCGTTGCGCTTTCTGGACAAACGCACACGGATGCGGTAAGGAACATTCCTGAAATGAAGGTGACAGATTAATTTTCAGTAAAATATGTATTGCAACCTGCCAGTTCATACAAAATAAAAGTTCTTTACTCCATGATTAGTAGCTCCCCCCAAATTCTTGAGCTTTGCCTATTTGTGCAAAGACACGATGAGTCAATTCTGCTTCTATCACAGCACCATAGTGAGAGCAAAATCCTGTTATCTTAGAGACTGTACTGTTTGCCTTAGAGGAGTGTTTTGTTTTTTAGTTTTGTTAAAGTGAGCCAGTAAGATTTAACTGAGCCTTGAATGAGATGAATCCATAACCCAGTGGGAGCATAAAGCCAGAAGTGCATCATCAGTCCACTACTGATCCAGGAAATACACTATGGAGATGATAATGAAGCACAACATTAGTATGATCAGCAAGCAGCCGTTACTAACAAGCTTTTCTTACTAGGACAGAAAATAGTGAGGGAAAAAAAGGCCAACAATCTGTTCTGAAAGCCTGAGGCCCCTGTCAGGAGTCAGAGTACTGCCCAACCTGTGTGCCAGGAGTCGTGGAAATTCCAGTGAGCCTTAGACCTGGACCAAGATCTTATTCGTGGGCATACAACTGACCAACATTTCTTCCTCACAAAGCTCATGGAACCACAAAAATGATATTGTTTGTAACAGGCTTGGTGTCTTCCCATAATACTGCCCAAAACAGGCTGCTGAGGGAAGGCACAAAATTATTTGTCCACACCATTTTTCAAGTAATCCCGTACCTCAAATGAACTTGGGATTTTGGGAAACTCCTGCTCAGAATACTTTGCTCCATAGAAAGAACTTCCTCCTTGCTGTACATTCTCAAGAGCATACTTAGTAAATCTGACGGGATGCAGTGATTAAGACACTTGGTTTGATTTACTCCCTTCTTGAAACAAGTCAAAAGCTACTTTACTTAGATCACTGACTATCATACTAGCTGAGATGGTGATTTTAGGCTCTCCACATCCTTCCAGAGGAAGGTATTTTACTTTGCATACATTACTTATTCTAACCAGTGAAAACTGCAGTTAAAACTCACGCTGGAAAGACAGATGTGCTGACTCCTTGCTCCACAGACTGCACTTCTACCAGTTAATATAAGGAATCCTTGGTTATACCTTCCCTGCTAAACTCTGTAGTTATGCTGTCACCTGGCTGAACTGCTACTTCTTCGTTGCATATGAACTGCAACAGCTCAAGAGGAAGGAGAGAGAACCCCTGCCCAGAAGGCCCAGTAACTCAGTTCTATCTTCCCGCTCAGTTTTTGAAGGAAGGCTTGGCCTAAGCACACAGCTCCAGGTAAAGGACTGTAAATACATCATAGGCCAGACATGGGAATATAATTCCTAGAAGACATGGTTTAAAACAAGGGTTCCTGTTTGTGTATCACTCACAGTATTAATCCCTACCAGTTAACCTTTGATTATGGTTTAAGAGGTCCCACTCCTCACGAGTCCTTTTGCACCATCCTTCACACATGTCAAATGCCCAACCAGCTGCCTCTGTAGCAGTGATTTAACAGAAGCTGTATTTTTTTCCTCCCCAAACTACTTACTTGTACTTTCAAGACAAGATTAATGGTCCTATTTAAAACACACCTCGTTATTTCCCTGTGTAGCATTTATCAATTCAGCTTTGAAAACAAATCCTGTTGAGGCACATTACACAAATGCCAGGTCCCTAGCCTGTAAGAATCTGTAAGTATCACTAAAATGCCACGTTTCTAAAAACTGTCTGCTGCAACAGGGCTTGGGGTACTGCAGTATTTACAAATACCTCAATCCTTTCCCTCCCTCCATCCCCAAACCCACATTCCTTCTTTCCTTTGCTTCATTCTTATTAGAGGTAGAAGGAAGTTCATTGAATTCCAGAGTTTAGCAAAGCTGTGCTACAAATACGCTGAGGGAGCCAACTAGAACATAGAGGTGACAGAAAGACCAGCTTGGCATGCACGTTGTAAGAAAGGAACCATTTGCAAAGACAATGCAAACACTGCAAGAAGAACATGCATTTTTCTACACCTCCAAGTCCTGTACCTCCAAATACACAGTTACAAGGTTCTTCCTTGCCCAACGAGGGAAGGTGCAGAAATCTACCTTATTCCTTTAGCCCAGACTGCTTTGTTCAATCTGGTGTCAATGCGAACATCAGGAGTACCCATTTCCTTCATGGCAAATTTCCGGATTTCCTTGAGAGCACGCGGTGCTCGCTTCTTGAAACCCCTGGGACAAACACAAGAGACATTTCTTTAAGTTCAGGAAACTGTCAGCATGGGACACTCGTTGCAGCATCCAACCATGGACGTCCTCTTAACATACAATCCAAAGAACTGCGTGCAACAGCAGTTCAATAGCTGCATCCTAGTACAACTAGACCTTTACTCTGGCAGGCAGCTGCTAACCTTAACGTCTGTGCCCAAGAGAAACCATGTATACTTATGTAGAATAGCTTCACTTAACACTTGGCAACTGCAAGATCTCTGGGATCTTAAATCTTATTCAAACATGTCGACACTAAAACTTATTCATAGAATCACAGAATGGTTTGGGTTGGAAGGGACCTTAAAGATCATCCAGCTCCAACCCCCCTGCCATCAGCAGGGACACCTTCCACTAGACCAGGTTGCTCAAAGCCTCATCCAGCCTGGCCTTGAACACTTCCAGGGAGGGGGCATCCACAGCTTCTCTGGGCAACCTGTTCCAGTGTCTGACCACCCTCACAGTGAAGAATTTCTTCGTAATGTCTAATCTAAACCTTCCCTCTTTCAGTTTAAACCCATCACCCCTTGTTCTGTCATTAACTGCCCTTGTAAAATTACTGTAATATTACTGAAGAGACCAGAGCTTTCACAGATGCTCTGAATAAAAGGCCTATGGAAAAGCAGTGCAACAACACAAACTTGTCAGAGCTGCATCAGTACTGAAACAAACGGCAGAAGAACAAAACTGATGCTGTTCTGATTAACAATTCTGCTGACGAGTATTTGATGGCTACTTTCTTCACGTTAGCAGGACGGCACCAGTACCACCATCAGAACTGTTCTGTCACAAGTACAGCTTGTCTCGTGCCCATTATGGACAGATTCTGCATGACTGGGCATTTACATTAAGAGTTACAGCTGCACCATGATTGTTTTGCCATATCTATCACACCCCCACCGTGACACGTGACTAGTGTCTGAGGTCCCATGGTGGATTACATTTAGTAGTACTTCCACACTGCCGTTGATATTTATCACTAGAAACTGTGAGTGGGCAAGTGGTTACAAGCGAGACAAAAGGTATTTCACCCCTAGTGCTTTGTGCCCAAAAAGAAAAGAGGATAACCCCCCACCCCCACCCAAAAAAATATTGGATATAGCAGGATTAAAATCAGCATTAAAAATTTGACTGAATTGCCATAAACAATCAACAGGCAAGGCCAGGACATCCTATTGCCATTTAAAGGTACCAGTGCCTCCCATCCTCACCCATGGTTTTAAAACAGTCCACTGTCCCATTTCTCCCCTGTTCAAAGTTAACTTCAGCAATTTCACCAACTAAAGTTTTTATTCTGATATCTGTTTTCTCTGCAGCCTCACAGAGAGACTCAAAGGGAGACGCAGCTTCCAACAAATCCCCTCAAGCACTTTTACTGCTACACAGTTGTATGAGGTTCAACATTTTGTCCGGGGAAAAAGTGACTCTCATCTACACACAACAAATACTGTGTAACTCACGATCACACCCCAGTGTACACCTCACAGAATTCAGTGATAAGCACAGAGCCAGTAATTTTACTACAACAGTATTTCACTTCTAAAACTTACTATAATGTAGTAATTTTAGAAATTAAATACATTTTAAAATGTGCTTGGGCAAGAATAACGACCTGTGCACAGAGGTAAACAGATCTAACTTCAAAGTAAGTCCAGGAACACGCAGAAAAACCAGAAAGAGGCCTGTTCCCGAAAGCCACAGGCTTAGTGCAGGTCTGCACAGGGACAGAGCCGCTTCCTTGGGACACCACCGTAGCACAAGGACTACAACACCCCCATTAGCACCGGTGCCAAGACCGTCATTCTCTGCCGTTTAAAAACTACCGAACCCACCTTACACCAGGGAAATCTCACTGACTTTCAGAAAGAGGAACTTACACGCCATGGATCCGCTTGTGAATGTTGATGGTATATTCCCTAGTTACCACCTCATTGATGGCAGAGCGTCCCTTCTTCTTCTCGCCACCTTTCTTCGCAGGAGCCATCTGAGCAACGCTGGAAAGCACCCGTGCACACATCAAGGGCAGGCCCACCTTCCTTCCCCCAGACCCACCTTCCCCCAGACCCACCTTCCCTCACACCCTTCCCCCGCGCATTCACTCCTCCCATCGTCCTCAGCTCCTCACAAGCCACAACAACTCCCACATTCAGACTGACGATTATAGAATCACAGAATGGTTTGGGTTGG